GACCTTGCGTTTTGCAGGTGTGGTCAGTGGCTTCACCTGTTGCTCCTGAAATCAGGGACCCCTAAGGTCTGAAGCGAGTCACTAACTTAAAGGTTGGTGCTTTGAATCTACACAGCACCTCTGTGCGAGGAAGCCCGGCCATCTGCTTCCGTCAGATCACCCCCTTTGGGAACCCTAGAAGGCAGTTCGATTCCGAAACAAAGCCTCCTCCTTCCCAGCGGAGAAGGAAGGGACGTTAGAGAGCCCGGCGTTCCCGGGAGGGTTGAGAGAGAGAGAGAGAGAGAGAAATACTGACTCGTGCTGTGCCTCCTTGCTGGATTAAAGGGGGAAAGAGCCGTTTTCTTCCTTTACTCGCTTCACGGTGTTGTTGTTAGATGTCGGCAAGTCGGATCAACTCACAGCGGCTCTGCGCACAAGGCAGCGGCCTGCCGGCTCCCCTCCGTCCATCCTCCATTTGAGCCCATTGTTGCAGCCGCTGGGTCAACTCATCGTCCTCAAAAGGAGCATTCGGACTTGACTTCTTCCAACACAAATTCGCTACTTTGCCTGGTCAAAAAAACCAACCCTGCCATCTAGACCACTGCAACTCATAGTGGACCCTACAGCGTTCCGGGGCTGGAAAGACAGCCGGTCTTTCTCCCTGGTGGATTTCAAATGTCAGCCTTGCCTTGAGCAGTCTAACGCTTACTCTACAACACCCCGGGTGTGCATGGCATCCCCACATTCTTCACCACACCTTCTTTCAAAGGCTTCCATTCCGGCTGGTCTTCCTTAGTCAGGGACCAGCTTTCACAGGCATTTGAGGCTGGGGTTAAGCACACAAGGTGACACCTCAAGGTGACAGCTTTGAAAAAAAAGTTTCCTCTATTGACTTCAGAACAAGTTTTTATTATAAGAACAGCTATTTGCTTCCAAAGCAAACTTTTTTACAACCCTTTTGATTGTGATTGGAGTGTAGGTTTCCCAACAAGTTGGTTTTATATTCGGCAATTCGTGGTACACTCTGTGTTTCCTGATGCGATGGTGGCAGCCCCCACAGGGTCACAACACACTTTCCTGCTTCCCTCCCGTGTCTTGTCCCATTTGCCCCTCTCCTACCCATTCCTGCCATCGGAGGCTTATCTGAGACCAAAGACTGCCCTTGGATCTCCTATGATTGATTATTAGAAGGAGTGTGGACCTCCCGGTGTTATTGTTCACGTTATAGGCCTGCTGGTTGTTTGACTAAAAGTTGAGCCTGCAGTGAATTCAGGGATGACCCTCAAGAATGACCAAGGGCCAGAGTCTTGGGGGACTCCACCAGTGTTTGTCATATTGCTAGGTAGCCAGAAACAGGATGAAAGGGGGGAAGGGGGAGGCTGTCTTTCCAAATGCCTGCCTCAGGCCACAATAGAGGGGCTACAGGGAAATCAGGCACCCATTAGAGGCCTATGGGAAAAATCCAGAACTGAGTCTTGCGCAGGGAGCCAAGTCCCCTAGGCCCAGGTGGAAGGTCCACCTTGGTACACAGACTACCCTGTTTCCCCGAAAATAAGACAGTATCTTATATTAATTTTTGCTCCCAAAGATGCGCTAGGTCTTATTTTCAGGGGATATCTTATTTTTCCATGAAGAATAAGGTACACATTTATTGTTGAACAAAAAAAAGGAAATGTATTACCTGTATATGGTATGGTAGTAGTTGTCATCACAAACCAGCATAACCAGACAAACTGAATCCTACGGTATCAAGAATTTCTTGTTACTACCATTATTTCCATGTACAACAATCTATGGTACATTTACTCCCACTTTCTGGCTGCGCTGGGGCCAACAGTGAGCTGTGCAGCAGTGCCTGCTGCTATGGTCCAGAGTCCAGAGTTACAGTAGCTTCGGGGGCCTTATTATCGGGGAGGCCTTATGTTTGGGGAGGTCTTATTTTCGGGGGATGCCTTATATTTCGGTGAAAGGCAAAACCATACGTAGGTCTTATTTTCGGGGGATGTCTTACTTTCGGGGAAACACGGTAGGCACCCACAATATTACATCACCCAGGTGTGCTTAAAGTCAGCCAATACCTTACTCAACCATGCCTCCTGGCCACTGGGATAAAAGCTGGCCTCGGGAAGGCCACTGCCCACTTCTTACTCTCTCTTCTCCTGTTGGGTGCACTCTTGAAAGTCGGGGTGGGGCCCGGGGCGCGCACGAGCTCCCACTCAGACCTCTCTGCTGCCCCCCTCTCGGGAATTCCTGGTTCTGCATGGATTTCGTGCTCCTGTTCCCGTGTTCTTTCCATGTAGCTTTTCAAGTTCAGTAGCAAACGCCTACGCAGTCCCCGCTTGGCCTTCTACACTTTCCAGAAATGGCGGGCATGTACTTTTTGATACCATCATACCTGAAACTTCCCTTTTCCTCATAAAAGTCACTTGGATAACGAAACATGCTTCAGCCACGTGAATTCTTTCAGCGTTATGAAGCAAGAACTCGGTGTCCCAATGCAGAAACCTAACAATATCAGCAAACCTAGTCTTTTAAATATTACTAGTATTATTTTGTGCATAGGGCAAATTTGAAGACAGGTAAAGATTTGTTTTTGACTTTCGCCTCCTTTTCTACACCTTACCACCTTGATTCTGGCATGTTTACCTACATGCTCAGTGTCCTCACGGTGTCCCCTGCTGCCCACAACCAACCTGGCACTCTTCCTTAAACGCTGGCACTTTTGCCATCCAACGTTTGACTGTTCTGAAATCTTGCCCAGTGATATGTCAATCTCAGGTAAACTAAGGTAAACCAAAGGCAGACAACAGCCAAAATATATTAATCACTGCACCCATCAGACAAGGATATTCCTATAAATGCCTTTTTTTTTTTTTTCAAAATAATTCTGGGCAAGATGGTGTCATTGCTCCCCCTTGACTGTGCATGTTGTTGTTAGGGCCCATGGCGTCGGCGCTGAGGCACAGCGACCTCAAGCACAACATAACGAAACCCGCTCG